AAACGATATTGTGCAGCACGCAAGATAGACAGCGCACAGTGTGCTTTGAGGCAGCAGCCAAGAAAGCTTTAGTCCGCGTCTGTGAATACCCATGTGTGCATACCTGTGTGGATCAGCATGCTTGCATTCCAAAGGTTTCTCCATGTAATGATCTGCTAGGGAGTGTGGGGGGGCCACAGCCCCGTCCTCCAGGGTGTGAAGCGGGTATGGAGGAGATCAAAACTCCAGACATCCAGAGGCCCCCAGAACACAAGAGACCATGGAAGACCAACAGAGGGGCAGCCGCGCCACTGTCCCAGTAAGAGCTGAGGAGAGTCCCAGATGAGGGCTCGCCCAGCAGCCGCGGAGCAGAAGTCAGGGGGAGTTGCAGTGACGCGCCCGTGAGCTCCGCCGGCCCCCAGCTGCGCCTGAGTGACCGAGCCCTAGGCCGAGAGGCCGGGGGCACCCCACCTCCAAAGGGGCCCGAGCGAGCCCCAGGCCCCAGGCCCCGACAAGCGGCCGCCAAGGAGTGAGCCGGTGTGTACCCGGACGCCCACCCCCAGACACAAAGAACCACCAACACACCGACACCTGAGGGAGTCCGCCACCGGCAGGGGAAGTGGTGGTGGGTGGAGATAGGCCTCCAAACCTTGGAGGGCCTGAGGTGTCCCCAGAGAGGTGGCGTCTGATACCCAACCTGACATATAGACACAGACATACAGGCACACACAGACACAAACATCCATTCCCACCCTCATGCTCTCATATGCACTCACTCCACACTCAACCAACGTGGAGACAGACATAAAGAGACGCTGTACACACAATCACACTCCCCAAGCGTACTCTACAAACCGGGTCTAGGTACCCTTGCCCCTGGAGGGGGGAATTGCACCCAGACCCAGGTGGTGTTACCCTTTTCCCTGCGGTGGGGAGAGGCAGACCACCCCGACTCCGCAGCAGCAGGGAGGCCCCACACCCCAGACCGCAGTCGGACGGCCAACTCCTCCTACTAGCCCTCCCGCTCCAGCAGGCCGCAGAGAATGGGGGTGGGAGAAGACTCCAAACCTCCCTCCACCCGCTCATTGTAGTGTTGATGCATATGTGTTCTAAGGTGCAATTAAAACCCAGGAGGGCATGGAGCTACCTGCCAAGGAGCAGCAGGTAAGCGCATAGTCCCTCCTGCTAACCCTCAATGACTAAGTGTATTTAAAATTGAGAGGTGGGCAACGACGTCAGGGGTGAGGTATACACCCTGATGGTGATTTGGACTCCGTGATTGTGCCCACCCCCAAGATCCTATATGTATGTGTAATGAGAGTGTGAATAATGTGAATGTCTAAGTTGTGGGATAAAATTGAGGCAGAGGCAGCCAGAAGGGGACGGGGGGGGGGGTAGCCTCCTCTGCACCCTGGTGACATACCCCCACTCCAAGGCCCTGCATGTGTGGGTGGTTGTGGAGGAGCGGGAAGAGGGAGGCAGCTGGAGATGGGGAGGGAAGGAAGGGAGGGGCAGGTAACCCCTCCCTGGGGCCAGCTCCCCCGCTGACCCCAGTAGGCACTCCCACCCTCCGCGACCCGCCAGGGAAGGGGGGCCCAGGCCCATCAGACCGGGGCCCAGTGCAGTAGCGCCCCCCGGCTCCACAGAGCCCTGGACAGTCCACCCAACCCCACCACAGAGAAAACTGCACCCACCCCACCAACCACACATCTTCCAGACTACATAAGACGGTAAACGCCCAGGCTGAGATCTTCCTCCACCTCTCCTGTATCTCCCCCTCCTGCAGAGAGTTCCTGAGAGAAGAAAGCTCCTGCAAGATGTGACCATCCCCCCCCCACCAGTTGAAGAGCCCCCCAGGCGGCTCGATGCACCGGCGGCACCCTGCTCCAGGGCCGGGCCCCCATGCACCCACCCGCCCACAACCCCGGCAACACACCAACCAGGACCCGAGCCCCCGAGGCCCGGCCCGGGCCCCAGCCCAGAGACGGAGCGCCCCCAGAACCTCACGCCCATCCCGGACCCATCCAGGGGCAGCCAGGTTGCCAGGTCAGTAACCCACGTCCGTCAGCACAGACCCTCCCCTAGCCCCGCTGCACGCAGCCGCGAGGAAACAGTCACCTGAGAGCCAACAGAGCCCTCAACCGGACGTGACCGCTACCCCGGGTTGAGCCCCCCAAGGAAGATGCCTCCGGGGAACCCCCCGACGCCCTAAGCCTGTCCCTACCCCCTCACCAATCACAACAGTGAAGGCGGGACCAAACTATGACCCCCCACCCCCACTAGGTGATGGAGCTGATAAAAGGGGCCCAGAGCAATTGATCTAATGTGGTGGCAGAGGCTGTATCAAGACTAATGTAATCTAATAGATAATTTCTATATTGGTTAGAGTTAAGATTATTTTTATTTTTCCAGTTCATGAGGACTGTTTTCTTGGCTATGCATAGGGCAGTGAAGATCATATGGGCTATATTCTTTTCTGAAGTGACATTATCTAAGCTGCCCAACAAACACACTAAGGGGGAGGTTGGAATGTTACATTTCAGACATTTTGATAAGTCTTCACATATCTCGCGCCAAAACTTTTGCACTGGTGGACAGAACCAAAGAGCGTGGATGTAATTGTCTGGTGTATTGCCTTGACAGTGTGAGCAGTTGTTGGAAGATGTAAAGCCCATCTTGAACATCCGATGACCTGTATAGTGCACTCTATGAAGTATTTTGTATTGTATTAATTGCAGACTGGGATTTTTAATTAATTTAAAAGTTTTTAAGCAAATCTGAGACCAGAAGTTTTGGTCTAGGTTGACTGATAAATCTGCTTCCCACTTTGCAGTAGGAAGGGATATTGATTCATCTAATTTAGAAAGTGTTCTGTATATTTTAGATAATAATTTGGGGGATTTAAGAGTAAGAAAATGTGCCGCACTTAGTGGTGTTTGTAATTCAACTTGACTGAGGTTAAATTTCTTTTTTACTATGGATTTAATTTGTTGATATTCTAAAAACCTTGTCTTGTTGATCCCATATTGTTCAACTAGTCTGTCAAATGGAATAAATTCTGTTCCCTCTAATATATGTTCTAAGTATTTAATTCCTTTACAACTCCATTCTGGGAAATTAATCATATTATTGTTTTGTAATATGTCAGGGTTATTCCAGATAGGTGTACGTTTGCATGGGATTAATGAAGACTCCGTTATTTTTAGAAACTCCCACCATGCTGTTAGAGAAAAGCTGCATGCAATTTTAAAGACCTCGTGTTCTGTATGGAAGGCTTCCACAGGATTGCTTAACTTTGCATAATCAAGAGAGGAAACTAAACCTACCGGGTTTGAGTATAATGAAAGGTTTCGACCAGTTAACTCTGACAAAAAACTTTTGGATTTAAAAGTTATTGTCAGACACACATTAGTTGTATATCTATATATTCAATGCGACACCCCGACCGGTCTAGCTGTTTCTACCAGAAGTTCTTTCCTATTAAAAGGGAGTTTTTTTCTTTCTATTGTCAAGTCTGAAGTGCTTCCTCGCAGGGAGTTGTCTGATTGTTGAGGTTTTCTCTGGTTTTTTTGTGTGTGTGTTTTGTTTTTATCATTGAAGACCTTGTAACATTAATCTTTCTCCACAAACTAATGCCATGTTAAACATTAGCTAACATTATGCTAACAGTGTAGCAGACTCATAGAGGAAGACTGTGGTTCTTAGCACACTTGAAATTGCTTTTGGAATATAGACTATCAACTACCAGACTGGATAAAAATTCTGTTTTCAAATGTTGTTTTATCATGCTGTTAGCATTAGCATTTCTAAAAGGGCACCATTAACAATGTTCAGTATTCATTCAGTATAAAATGCTTGGCAGAGCTGCCTAGTTAGAAGATACATTTTATGACCTACTGTTCTCAGTACACTGACTAAATGCTTCAACCTTCAACTTAAAAATATGTCCACAGGAGTGATCCCATCGGAGTTCAATGCATACAACATATTGATTGTGTAAATTGACTGCAATGAGAGGAATGGAGCTCCATTATGGCTATGACAAGTAAATCAACAATGAATCACCTAGGGCAGAAAGCGTATACATTGCTTTCTATGAGCTAAAGCTCTTAGTGCTGTACTTCAGTCGACCCACCAATGAATGATGTCACTGCTGGTGTTTTCCATTAGCAAGCATGACACCAAAGTATTTTTTTCTGAGTTTTAACCTATTAGAAGCTTTGCCTTAGTACCTTTATCTTCTGTATCACCTTTTGAAATGAAAGTAAAGATAGATGGTTGACCTGGAAGGAAAGCCCTACAATGACAGGCAGTCAATCTAGTGGTGAGGAGGATAAATCAGACCAGAACATGCTCTTGACCCTGTGTAGACATATACTGAAAGGGTATATGGTATATGAGAGTTTGATCAAGTTTGTAACCTCAAACACAAGGAGAGGATCAACTGAGTAAAGAGATAATAGGTTTGTTGTAGACAAGGAATTGCAATGGGTGGGGTCACTAATCGTACAACTTATGCAGCCCCAACAAACATCATGCACAGATACTACAAAAAAGCAAAACAAAAAAACCCAACAACATATATATCTGCACACACACCAACAGCAAAAGAAATATTAGAAGAAAACTGACCAAGGTTGACAAATCTTTTCGGCTCTTTATAAAAGGGACACAAAGATGTTTCTGGTCTAATGATAGAATTAATGGACCAGAAAGCGTGGTCGCGAGATAAAGAAAAGTAACGCATCCACACAAACAGATGTGTCACTTGCATGAAGACACAGGTTGCCTCTTTCAGTGTGCCCTGGCACACGTATACGCATGTATACGCCTGTCTATCCATGTGTGTTTGGGCGAGAGAAGGTAAGAAAAAAACAAAAAGGAAGTGTGTCCATTATCTTTCTCTGTAATGTACTGTTGGAGACGGCAGTTAAAGCAGATCGTCTTCATAACCTACTAAAATGTCGCGTTTGTATGTAATGGACACAGACAGACAGATAGATAGATAGATATTTCCTTACCGAAATCAGAATCATAGAAGAGAACAAACTTCTGCCAGCTATACTCAGATACCACTTGCATGATGACCTCATTGAGATAGACAGGTGGGCGAACCATTAAGGTGTAGTCATCTGTTCCAGGGACTCGACTGGTCGGTGGGCAGGCTGAACGGGGTGTTCCCGCTGGGGAGCGCTGGATAAAGAGGTGGGGGATGTGCATGGCATCAGCTAGAGTTTGAAGGCTGCCTGCCGACATGCAGCCAATTGAACTGACCAGAGCCAGGATTCCACGGTTCATCAGCTCACAGGCTAACGGAAGGAGGGAGCAGACAAAGAAGAAAAAAAGAAGGCATATATTAGATTTCAAAGCATAGAAAAAATGTTGTACTACTTGTTTTATTCTAAGAAAAATCACCAGTGAAAGTATATGTCATACTGTTGATCCTAGGAGTCTTTGTAAAAGAGTAAGAGTGCACCAAGGCAAGGTCACCACATTGCAGAGTTAATTAAAGGGCCCGGAAAAACATTTTGGAGATTGTTTCCAAATGCACTGGACATTTATTATGAATACCAAGCTATTACAGTCATATGTTGTGTTGTCTAGAAAAAGAAAGAAGGAAGTATAATTAAACAGATATATGGTAGCAGAGTAGTAACAGTGTTGCCGTGATGTAAAACGCTATTAGAAAACATAAGGACTCATAAATATATCTATTCAAAATATGTCACTTTTGCCAGAGACTTTTTGTGCTCCGCTTCCTAAATTCTCCTCAGCAATGAGACACTTTGTGTGTGCTTACTTCACTTCTTATTCCTTCCTGTTAGGCCTCTAGTGCTATCAAATATACCTCTACCTCCTACCCTCTCAACCCACTCCCCTGTTATCTCCCTTCTTGTTCAAAACAGCCCCTCTGAGTGCTTACCTTTCAGCCCCAATCATTTCAGAGTCACAGTCTTGCAGTGATTTTTATTTTAAGTGCCTTACAGCACTGCAGAATACTATACAGTGTCCTCAGTTTGGAATCATCTGCTTTCCTGTGCCACATCCTATCTAACATTCCTCCTTCAGAATCTTTCGATTTTCACCTCCCAATCTTTCGCAACATCTTCACTCACCAGCCGCTTTCTCCATCATCTCTTGTTTACCCTCATGGTAACATAAACATTCACCTATCCTTGCTTCTTCACTCTTTTGACTCTTCACCTCTTTATTGCTTTGGTTTTTTGTTTGCCTCTCTGAAAGTCCCCAGCTTTCCCTCTCCCTTTTCCATCCCTTATCTATCCTGATCCTCATTTCATCCTCCTCTTCTGCTCCTCACTGCATCCTTTAATGTTAGCAGTGTTTATTTTACTCCTAGCTGACTAAAATCCTGTCACAGATTTACTGAGAAAAACAAAGAGCGGTGAAAGACTGTTTAAAGACAGTATAGCAACACAAACAGAGATGCAGACACACAAACTGTGAAATGGCAATGTATAAAAGCAAGTTAGCACAATCTAAAACACACACAGTCAGCCTGTGTAATGCCACAGGGAGTAATCTGTTGACACTGCAAAAATAAAGCCAAAGAAAGAAAGTGAAAAGAAAAAAAGTTTTAGAAAAAGAGAAGCTCGAGGAGACAGAATCATCGTGCTGAGAGGGCAGAATAAAGCACTGCATGTGTGCAAGTGTGTGTGTGTGTGTGTGTAACATGTGACCTATACAATATGACAATGAATACCGTGTCAGCTGGTTGCACAAAAACAACCTAATGAGTTGGATTTCAAAGTGTTCAAAGAGGTGAGGATGAAGTCTCAAATCAGGAGAAATTAGTATGTGTGCCTGTAGATTTGTGTGCATGCGTGTTTTACTGATGCATAGCGTGCTGTCTGATTAATTTCGTTTTGTAGTTTAATTCAGTTTGTTTAATTAAATCAAGTTTAATTAATTCACGTTAGTTCAAGCATCACTGGCCTTATTTATTTACGAGATGTTACAGTCACCCTAAAACCAAATTCATGTCACTCTTTATTTGTCTGAAATTATAAACAAAAAAGTTAACACAGAAGATTAAATACGTATGAGGGATGGTCTGCTCAAAAACAGTTTGACTTGAAGTTGACTGACTGGCTGAAGTTGTCACTCAAGCAGTTCCAGGACACTAATCTGATTTTATGAGCAATAACTTTAAATATATGAACGCAAACCCTTTTTGTAATTAACTGGCAAAAACATTGTTGGAAGCAATTTTCCTTTTTAGCAATAGCTGAAGGGTTTTTTCCAAAAAACCATTTCATTCTGCATTGATGTAGATGATTAATGTGTAGAAGCTAATACAGTTTCAGTCTCACTGCCCATTGTTCAAGTCCACTTTTGAGGAATTAATTAAACTCTAACAATATATGATTAAACTTCACAAACTCTCACCATGCTGCTTAGTCACAGCCTCTATTCTTAAAAATCATTGAGCCCAGAATCGATCTACCAGGAACCTAATGTTTGAGCACAGGTAAGTCCAGTCATGTCTAGTGAGCAAGTGAGCAAAGACAGTCAGATGGTCAGATCTTGTAAACCAAAGGCCAATGTTTTTTAAGAGATGAGAGAGATAAGATTTGCTTGGTCACGGCAGAAAGTGGACAGTACGAAATTAAGAGCAGCAAAAATTAAGAAAAAACAATAGAATAGAATAAAATACTATGTCAAAGGCAGTGTAAATAAAATGTTCAAATGTCTAAATGCACAGTATAAAATCTAGGAATATGCAGCTCACATGCTAGTAAATGCAGCCTGTGTTTGTGTGTCTGTGTGAAAGAGGAGGAAAGAGTATATGATGTGTGTTTGCTCAATATGATGTGGCAGTAAGGGCCTGAAAAATATCTGCACCTGGGCCTATCACAGGGTTGTTAGACCTGTGCGAGTGAGCCTACATGTCTCTGAATAGTTGAACATGTAACCCGAGTGATGAAGTCACGTCACTGGCTCCCAGTTCATTACGGAATCGCCTTTAAAATCTTTCTTTGAGTTCATAAAGCACTCAATGGTTTGGACCCTCAGTACATCTCTGACTTGCTCAGTGTCTATAACCCAACTAGACTCCTCAGGTCATCGGCTGAGGATCGTAAGACAGTTCCCAGAATTAGATCTAAGTGTGCTGAAGGTGCTTTCACTTACTGTGGTCTTCTTCTTTGGAACAAGCTGCCCGCTGACCTGAGGTCAATTGCAACTGTGTCTACATTCAAAAATAGACTTGAAACCTTTTTATTCTAAGTAGCTTACAGTTAATAACTGTGTGAGTTTGTGTGCATGTTAATTTCTATTTTTTAGTTTTTGTCGTGTTTTTTTGTTTTCTCTTATTTTTGCCATAGTTTTAATGTTTTTATTTTTCATAGCTCACGTGAAATGGATTGTGCTATTTAAATAAAACTGGCACTGAGATTGATTTTTGGGCTGAGGACATCTAGGGAAATTACTCAGTCTGTACATGTGTATTATAGCTGGCATGCTAACTAACTTTTTTTTTAACTAGCTGCATTGTTCCAGTCTAGAAACAGCACATTAGCCTAGCACGATCAAGGCTTTGGCTAATGGAAAGCTTTGCTAATCCATTAGTTATTGGGGCACTTTGGAGAATTAGTGCCCTCATCCCCTCTACATCACACATCCTTAAGTCTGTGGGGGGCTTCTAAGCATTAGCCTCATTAATACTTTTTGCTAATAACTTAAAGGGCTCGTTGCATTAACCCAACCCAAGTTTACATCACTCTGATGTAGGCAACAGTTTAATGAATGAACATGAGAAGGAGCTAGAGCTACTGGTACGATGTTAAGCTGTAGGGATGAACAATGTTTTAAGAGTAAATGATAGATCTGTATTTCAGTTCAATTCGGTTCAATCCAATCCGATTAACTTCTATTTCTAGACTGCCAAATTAAAACAATAGTTACTTCAAAGCACTTCATATTGTGAGCCATGGCGTAGGCAAAAAATAGAAAGTATTGCTATTTGGAATTCTTGACGTATCATCATGAACTACAACCACCACCAAACCACACTCACAACCCAACATCATCGCCAACCCACGCACGCAAACGCCCCACCCCTGTGTGGGCAGTATGGTGATGCATGATAAATGATGCCGGATTCAGTCTCCCTAAAGCAGCTAAGACCTGACAAACAGCTATGGAGAGGTGTTCATGTGAGAGATGTAAATATCAGTCATTCCTAAACACAGGTGTCTCTCTACAACTTCAGGTGCTTGGCCATGGGGGTTTTATTAGCCTCGTCTGCTTTTCAGTACCATTGCAAAAACACACACTACATAAATCAAGTATACACTCTGTCCCATCCACTTAATGTTTATATGCAGACGTTTTTATGTTTGTATGTCAGCGTGCATTTTACATGAGTTGTTTGCAGCAGAGCATGTTATTGAGCACTGTCTCCTGCTTGTTGGTCTGTCAGAATAAATGAACTGCAAGCACTTCACCTGCGTCCAGGTGTGACCGATTCTTCTAGCTGTGTCTCTCAAAGCAGCTCTCCTTCCACCACACACTGACACACACCATACAGACTTTATCACACTGACACACTGTCCTCCAGATTCTGTGACCCGGTGTCTGAAGGATGGAAACAACAGCGAAAGACAGATGGATAGGAAGCAAGGAAATCAATACCTGAAGAGAACCAATAAACACAAGAAATTTAGAGTCTCTCTCTCCCTAAAGCACAGCCTCTGCCTCTCTGTGGAACTATTTTATGTTAAATAAGGGGAAAGTGTAGTTAACATTAGCATATTATCTCTAATATAACAGTCCTCTTAATCTATGATCTACAATGCAACAAAGATATTAAAAAAGACTGCCATTGTGTAAGGGGGAGTCTCCTCACAAATCTCCCAAGTGTCTCTATTCAGCAGCAAAAACAAAAACACCTAGCAAACAGATATTGTATTATTTATTCATTAGGTTATGATTATACTTCCAGCAACAGGTAGGACTTAGTTTGTTTTCAGCAGAAGAGTGGTTGAATGAAAAACCATGTATCCCCTGGCTGTAAGATGAGTGTGTAATCAAAAGAAAGTGGCTGGTTTGATCAGAAATTCATAGACAAATAGGAAGTCATGCAAGCTCACAAAGCACTGTCCTAGCCAGAAGTGTATCTCTGTGTTTAGTGTGTGAGTGTGTGTTTGAATGACCTACTTGTGTCCGTATATTGTTACATGTATTGTTTGAAGGTCCACAGTTCCAAACTGCTGCCATGCACAGTGCCATACACGACTAAGCACTGAGTGGCAGGGAGAGATGCTTAGTCACAGAGCTGGCAGGCTGA